CACTGTCTTATTGGCGTTAAAATACCACGTATTCTAAAAATGACCATTTTTAATTTCTATGGTGATATTTTTTTAGAAAAGCCCGAAAGTGGGTATGGGAAGGGGGGGTTTTTCGTGGATCGGGGTCATATGTGGACTGTAATATTTTGAAATTCCCTCCTTTGCAGGATAAAAGTTAATAGCCGTTTTGCTTTCTCTCAAGCTCAGCTGTGGTTGTTCACAGAAATCGAAATGTTTTTTTGCTTTAGCAGCAGAATATACTTCTCGATAGAACGCCTTTTCACATTGTTTGTATTGTATCGAATAAATATTTTTTGAGTTGGGTTTTGGTCTCACAATCATATATGGACTGTAATATTTCAAAGTGCCCTCCTTTGCAGGATAAAAGCTAATAACTTTTGTCCCATGCTTGAGTAAAGCAATAGTCAAAACCTTAGGAATTGCCTTGAACACCATTCAATGATAATGTGCTCAGAATAATCCTTTCAATTTTGTATTGCTGCGCTCAATAGTTGGTTTGTGGTCGCCAGGCACGGCACACGCTTGATTAAAGCAATAGTCAAAACCTTAGGAATTGCCTTGAACACCATTCAATGATAGTGTGCTCAGAATAATCCTTTCAATGTTTGATTGCTGTGCTCAATAGTTGGTTTGCGTTTGCCAGGCACGGCATAATTCATGGTCACGTCCATGTTATCTTTCATGTCAGCAAATACCGGTTTGAATTTGTTGTTGCAACAAATAGTTTTGATTCAAAATTCCCCATGATTGTAAAAGCGTAAAATTTTGTCAATTGACTTGTAAATAGCATCTTTTGTCCAATCTTTCAGTTCAGTACAGAATCAGAATTTGATCGCTTTGTCAATACAGAAAAAAAACGCGACATTGTTGAAAAACATAATGTGGATGCATAAATCCAGGTTCAAATTGTGTTTCAGGAGTTCTATGGGCATTTTGATCCAATCATCAACCACAGCCTTTGATGTTGTTCGCTTTTGTTTGCCCTTAATTGTTGAAACGCTTGGTCCATATATCTCTTCAGAGATATTAACATCTTCCTCCGTAATTGGACAATTTCTAAACTTGCCTCTAAAGTTTTGCATGTTATCTTTCATGTCATCAAATACCAGTTTGAATTTGTTTTTGCAATAAATAGTTTTGATTCGAAATTCTGCATGATTATAAATGCATAAAATTCGTCAATTAACTTCTAAATAGCATCTTTTGTCCAATCGTTCAGTTCAGTACAGAATCAGAATTTTATTGCTTTGGCAATACTGACAAAAAACGCTACATTGTTGATAAACATAATGCCAATGCATAAATCCAGGTTTAAATTGTGTTTCAGGAGTTCCTTGGGCATTTTGATCCAATCATCAACCACCGCTTTTGGTGTTGGCCGTTTTTGTTTGCCCTTAATTGTTGAAACGCTCGGTCCATATATCTCTTCAGAGCTATTAACATCTTCCTCCGTAATTGGACAATTTTTGAAAAAATTTCCCCAAATCGCCAACTTGAATAGTTCTGCACCAGGTGCTAATCATATGATAGCCACTCCATGCAATATTTGCCTGTTTCCCTTGTTTGTTTGTGAAGCCTTCTTTGTTCTTTTCCACACTCTGCAGAGCACAGTACCCTTCCATATCATCATTTAAATTATTAGGTACTATGTGAATTTCATCTAGTTCCATTCCAGCAGGAACTTCATCATATTTAAATCCTCTTCCATCCGTCCATTCATGAAAATCTTTTTGGATACCTCTTTGATTTGCTTCTTGAACGAATGTACTGGGTAATCCACCAAAGCGAATTTATAAGTCATCAAAATCCCATCTTCGGTTTTTAGCCAATTCACAACACCATTGAGCAAATTTTGTCCATTTCCATAAACCGTGATATTCATCCATCGCTTCACCCCCATCAATCCTATCATGCTGTAGGATGGATGCCATTCCTTTGTGTCTTTCGATTTCAATATCAAAACATGGGTCTACTCCAGCATTGTCAAGTCCACATGCATGATTATGGAACATTGCTGTTGCCACAGCAGGTTTGCCAACCAAAGTATATAATCCATTGCAATGTCCAAATTGCCATGTTGTCCCGTTCCTGGTCACAAAGAAGCTGTTCTCTCTCTTTGTGTCCATAAATACATCAAATCTATCTTTTACCATGTTCAACAAACTGTTGATGTTGTTGCTAGCTCGTGTGTGAAGCTTACAAACAGAATCAAATACCTTATCAATTCCTTCTTGATAAAGTTCTCTTCCCTCAACATTAGAGGCACTGTCCAAGTTGATACCAGTATTGTTGAGTTGGAACAACATTATCCCTTGTGGTCTTGAATCATTATCCGTATGTCCTTCTTGAATAAGTTGTTCTCCATGGGATCCATTGTTGGAACGTCCATAGTTCCATTGAGTATTTGAATCTCCTGATTCATTATCATCACACGTTGCATTTTCATCACATTGCATATTTTGTCAATTACCACGACCATTCTCGTTTGAATAATCCCTATATATGTCCAGTTTTTTCCACTGTTCCCACGGCTTCAATTTGTCCGCACATTGAGGTGCGACACAAAACACGCTCGAGTTTGTTGTTGCGAAACTTGATCTCCGTCATTTTGATTGTTGTTTGACTTGTTCTGTTTGCCTTGTCCATTCAAATTTCCTCAATTTGAATTCTTCTTCCTGTTATCATGTTTGTGTTGATTCAAAACATCAGCACCACTTTCCAAAGTAGTTGGAAATGTACAACGCTGTTTGAAATCCAGATGTTTCAACATGTACTGCACCGTCATTCCATCGATTCTTGATTGATATTTGGCTCTATTGGAATTATACAGAAGTCTGTTGGCCATGAATCTTTCCCATGATTCCTTCTTATGTTGTGATTGTTCAGCATTGCTTCCCAATAAATCATATTCCTGACTCTTCTCAGTAAACTTATCCAAAAAATCATCACCGAGCAAAGCTTGCAATGCCTTCGCCTTTTCTTCAGATCGTTTACGAAAACTTGCAATTACTTGCAATTTGCAATGTTTTCCTTCTCTTTTTGATGGTAATTAATCCTATTGCTCATGGTCTTCCACAGACCAAAATATTCCCATTCTGTATCAACAGTAGTTGTCATAAAATTCTTGATCCGCATCAATAACTCCACAGGATCATTGAACAGTTTGTTTTCAAAGTCAGCTTCTCGCTCAAGCTTGTCCACCATATGATCGATGCACATCTTCATAATCATTCCATAGACATTGCGTTTATTGTTATCAAACACCTTCTTTCTGGCCTTCCAATTCTTTTGATCAGTCAAATAGTGAGTTCTTCTTTCTTCATTCTTTATCTCCTTATCAGGATTGTTGTCATCAGTTACCAATACCAATGTTGGTTTCACACTTTCAATATCGAACAACTTCAAGGTTTGTACACTCTGGATCATGTCATCAATATGATCCATCTTCATCGTTGACATTTTGATCACCAATGTCTTCTTTACTTCATCAAAGCTAAATTTGGGAATGTTTCCTCTAGTCAGAGGAGGAAACTTCTTCTCTTTTTGGCTACAATTGTCACTCTTATTTCCATTGTATTGACCATTACCTCAGCCTTGCTGTGATCTGTTTTGTCCAGCATTTCTTCCATTGGAACAATGTCCAGTATTCTGAAATCTTCCACTCATCATGAGCAAGTTCCTATCCTTTCAAGTTGTAGGAATATATCAACCCCCAATTCAATTCAGTGACTTTTTATAATGTATGTTAGGAGTAAGCGATCCACTGCCTCCTGCAATCTACCTGTTCAATTGACTGTGATTTAGCTGTCCAGGTATTGTTGCCTTCTAAGTGCATGAATTTACAGTATATAGAAGTATATAGATCTATCAGAGATCCTACTTTATCAACCAATTCACTCGTTGCTTGCAGTATATTATAAAAAGTGAGAACAGTCTGTCAACTTTTGACTTTGACTCTTTCTTCTCCAGCTCAGTGGAAATTCTCAGAATTCTCTCTACGTTAGCCTGATATGCTGCAAGTTCAATCTGTTTATCCGTTCACCTTCCACTGTAGTCGGCACTTTGATTAGTATCCAACTTTGGTTCTTGCTTGAGTCTTGCTTTCTTATATCATCAACAGGATGATTTCCATAGAAATATGATCTGTTTTCTGACTCGCCACGCGCGATATTTTTAGTTGCATCAGTCTTCATTTTTAGTCGTATCAGTTGACATCTTTTCTCTATCGTTCACATGTATTCTCTTTTTCTTGTTTCTACAAAGATGTACTTTGAAAATCCTAATATATCCAACACACTCCTGCCGTTTCATTAACATAGTTGATGACAATGGAACATGAAAGGAAATTGCGTTGCTCCTAATCTTGTTCTCCTTGGATCAATGATCTGAATTCCAAGTTTTTATGACTGTTAGTGATGCTGCGGACTATCCAATCTTCATGGTGATCAACGCCATTATGAAAGCGATCAACACAAGAACAAGACTGCTGCTGAATACAAGAGAAGAATTGAGTCCAACTTCAGTGTAATGTATGCACTTACAGGTCAGAACTTTCTCAACAATTTCACCAAGACTACAGACAAATATTCCTGTAAAGCAAATGATCCCAAGAAGAAATCTTATCTTGAGCAACATAGAACAATTGATGGTAAGTGATTGCGGCAAGCTCTTGTTTTTCAAGTGCACTGGGGCCTGGACATGTGGTGTTGCGACTGGAAGTTACACGTGGAAACTCAGGAGCGCCATTCCACAATTTGTTCCTTCCAGTTAAGAAGTGATCTTTAGTGGCACATGCCACCTCCATGTTTTTGCGGAAAAACAGGAGCGCTAGCGCTGAGTCCTCAAAGATCACCAGCTGCACACCACATAGGTGTGTACAAGTGTGCAGCTCATGTGATGTTCCAGCTGAACATCACGCTTTTGGACGTCTCTCCTACTCTGATCTTCAGAGTTGAAATTGCTCTCTTGGAGACCATTCATTGGAAACTCGTTGATGGAAGCAGTTTGACACGTCCAATTGGACAGACCGACAAATGTCGGATTTGTCCGTTTATTTGGGGGATTCCCATGAGTTGGTTTTGCAGGGAATCTGAAAACATGGAATTGTGGGCTTGGACTATCAAACATCACAGCGCCAGGAAAATCCTGTAGTGTGACAGAATATAATTATTCTTGGGGAACACTCAAAGTTACACTAGAAGATAAGATATCAATTCAAGGTAAACAAAACATGACGCGATGAGTCAATCGGGAATTGACGAGCAGTTGATGCGCTTGAGCACAAAGTTCCAACTGTTCTCATCCGATGACAGGTCCTCATATCTAGTTTACTACTAATTAATATAAGACCCATAAGACCGCTAACAATTGAATCGTATTGGTCCGAATCACAAAACCAATTCTTGATACAATTCTGTCACTCCCCAAATGGGTGAGTGAGCGAGGATCTAATTCTCCTCAGCTGTGTCATCTACTCAGGAAAGTAGGGTATGTAGTTGTGGCCATATTTGTTGATACCTTTTTCTTAGGATACCAGCCGGGTGTTTAGTACCTTCAATGTGTAGAAAGGAGTTGTATTGGATGCAATAGCCTCTCTAACACGGTGGAACGACAGTACAATATGTCGCTTGTGCCAATTTGTATTAGGTCTTGATGGGCTGTTGGTAACAGTCTCAGTAGTCTTGGTTCCATCAATATGAGGCAAAGAAAACCTTTTCAGGATGTAATGGCAACAAGGTATGCCATTTGTGTAGTTGGTACAATGTCGTCTTGTACTGTTTAGTTATATGTTGATGCAAGCCATCAAGGAGTGGCTCGTTGCCTTCAAGCAGTGGTTGCAGACCAGTTGTCTGCTCCCCATGAATCTGAGCAACAATTTGGTCAGAATCCATTTGGTCTTCAGTTGAAGTAGTTGATTGCATCATGTAAAAAGCGTTGGTACATAGACAAGTTGCCAAGTGGATAATTTTTACCGTTTCAGTCTTAGCTAGTAGTCTTTGTTCAAATTGCTTCTGTCCAATTGACAAAGTTGTCCAGTCATCAATGCATGTCTGATGGAGGAAGTCGCCCACTTCCAATGTACAGTGCCAAAGATCTATACCACTGATTGTGGTCGTAGTGATCCCATATGTGAATGTATTGTTGCTTGAGCTTGTTGTAGCTGTGTCATCAAAGTGAAGACTTTGGTTAGCTCTGCTACAAGCACATTGGTGGTATAGGCCTGGAGACCGCTCAATGATACTATCATTGTAGCTTGGCAATTCAGTGCCATGACATGTGCTGCATCTGTGCTTTCCAGCAAGTAGGAAGCTGCGGAATTGCCAAGCTCGGATTTGGTGACTAGCTTTAGAAGTAGATACAAAGTTGGAAGGCGCCAATACTGTAATATCTATAGTAGTTATTGTAGCTGTTGAGTTGAGTCTTCCAAGTAGTGTTCCAAGTTCTTCTGGATGACTAGCTTGGGCAACCATGCAAAGTAGCTGCAAAGGCGCTCCCAATCACGTTCACGAGTCTTCACAGCCGAGCTTGGGTTCTTCGGTTCAACCTCAGTTGGTTGTAATCCATGCTCAAAGCTGTTGCAAGATGGTGGACCATTTCTCCCGTCAGGCTTTCGAGTATCATCATCAATGTGCGCCTCTTGGGTTGAGGATTGCTTGTGGGATTGATACAACACCAGCTCAAAGCGCGCCTCTTGAGTTAAGGGTTGCTTGTGAGACTGATAGACCTCAAGCTCTGGCAGTGCGACTTGAGTTGCACAGGTGCAATCCAGGTTGATAGGATCTTCCATGCTATGTTCAAGTCTAGCTAGTTCAGAAGTTGGTGGACGATGGACTTCATGGAGTCCATCTATTGGATTTGCATAGGGAAAGGACTGGAAGAAGTTGATTGCAAAATCTAAAGCAGAATGTCCGTTCATAGTAGTAAAGGGTAAGGCTCTACTACAATTATGACTGTCTACTTGATTGAATGTTGGCTTAGCTTCTCCAGTTCCAATAGCCGTGGAGTCCAATACATTTTGGTCATGATCACTACCATGCTTAGGAATGAGCGTGGCATTTGGAATATTAGCGGTGCTCAATCCATGGTCGATCAGATCGAAGTCAAGTGGCCCAAGGGAGTCAAGAGTGCAGTCTAGAGTAGCTTCAAGGATCCCAAGAGTACAAACTATAATAGATTTGTTAGTGGCTATCTCATCAAATCTCCTCTATTGTTTGGTCGGGCTCTCTATCTGACTTGTTCCCATCATGTACAGGAGGAAGAGCACTAGTAGCATCATCTCTCCTCATGCTCGCTTCTGGCAACTGTTGGAGCAAGTCGTCTTCCAGTACAAAGTCAATAAAGAAAGCAACAGCATCAACTACGATATCATGATATCGTTGGTGAAATGGGATCTTAAAGGATAAAAGAGCAGTCGAATATGTCAGACAGTAAGGTTGGACATTTGTGGTACCAAACATGGACAGTAGTACGGTTCAAGTACGTACAGAGATGGATAAGTATTGAAGGTAGATCTACTTTGTGACTAGTTCGTGAAGAACATGTGCTTATGTGCTTTATACGCGGTCGGACATTGGTGATATCGAACACGGACAGAAGAACGGTTCAAGTACGTACAGAGATGGATAAGTATTGAAGGTAGATCTACTCTGTGACTAGTTCGTGAAGAACATGTGCGTATGTGCTTTATACGCCGCGACAGCTGGTGAGAGCTGACACAGGCGGCTTCTGGAAGAGATTTTTTGTACCTGCTTGTGGAGATCATTGTTGATCGACTTCTGGCAAGAATAACAGTAGAATAAGATCTAATAGGAAGTGGTGAGACTGTTGATCCGCAGGTAGAAGCCCAGCATCACTGGCACCTGTTCCTATTGTAGGCAATCCATAGCCGATGTAGATTTGAGCTCAGTGTACTCCAGAGGTAGCTAGAGCGTTGAGGCTCTCATTACAGCTACGGAGTTGAATATCTGACAGTCGATCAACAAAGGTAATTTTTGAACATTGCAAAGTAGGAGGAACTAAAGAGCAAGATGCCTGGTGGAAGAAACCAAGGCAGAGGCGGCCGAGGTGGCCGTGGTGGAAGATATGTCCAGCAGACCGGTCGAGGGTCTCAAAGAAAGAAGACCAAACAAAAGAAACAGTATCACCCTCACAACCCTGAATTTACTCACGGTCAGGTGACGGTGAACTTGCTTGAGGCTATAGCGCTCAAGAGTTTGGACTAAGCTCAAGACGCAATCGCAAGTGAACGAAACATGGCCCATACAAATAAATATACTGTTGCAGCGATCATCACCAAGCATTTCATCCCATCGGCGATGAGAGATAAGTTGAGCACTGAAGCTGATTGGCAAGACCTCCAAGAAGATCACGTGAAGTTGTTGAAGCGTATGAAGACGTTCATGACTGTCATGGATGAGACCGAATGGCAACTCTTGGACTCACGGAATCTCTCAAGAGATTCACAAACTGTACTCAGAAGCAAAATGAGTCTGTTAACGATTACAGAAGACGGTTCGAAGCCCAAGCTGATCAATTGTTCGAGATCCTTGGCAACGATGTGTTGCATGTCTATGCGACCAAGACAATGGGGTACCTGGATCTATACAATCCGGAGGACGATCCGGACGATACCAAGGCAGTCCAAGACACGTTCAAGAAAGAAGTTCTCGAAACATTTAAAGCGAGTGCATTTTTCTACAACTGTGACAGGTCTCGCTTCGGAAGCATGTTGGACAAAGCGAATCAGACCTACGCCATGGAATTTAAGGACTACGATCAGAGAAATGAATACCCAACTCCGATTGATCTGGTTGCCAAAGCGCTGATCAAACATAAGCCGGACAATAGAAAGAAAGGTCCAACAACACCGAGACCTACTCCAAGAGCAAACACTGCGAGCAGCAGTGCCCCTGACGGAGTGAGCAACGTACAGTCGAATGCTCGAACAACATCTTCACGACCGGCTTTTAGTTGCTGGTGTTGCGGAGATACTGGCCATGGGGTCACCCGTTGTCCCGAACGCTGAATGAGCGGAATGGAGCGACCCAGGACGATACAGCGACGCACCGACTACTACTACTACTACTTCAAGACGAGCGGGGAGAGCCAATCTCCAAGTCCCTGCGACTGCATCTGCGGCGCAGTCGGGTGCCGCGTCTAGCGTCATGGGAATGCAATCAACTGTTCAACAACATCGAAGCAATATGGAACGAGCTGTTGTTGACAGGAGTGGAAATGGCACTTCTGGTACTACTGATGTACCCGGTTCTTATGTGATACGAGGCAGGTCTGTTGCTGATGGACGATCTAATGGTAGAATTACAGGATGGAACCTTGCACAAGTACATGTAAGACCAATTCTGAAGAAGAAAGCAGTCTCCACTGAAGACAGGGAGAGTTGCTAATGAAGAAATGGCAAGCACAACTAGAAGCTGCCAGTACTTTCAAGGTCGATGACAGCATGATCAGCGATGGAAGCTTGAACATGCAGATCTACAAGTCGACCTCGAAGATGGATTCATTGAAGCACTGTTCTCATGGACCAAAGACAACAACAAACCTTTCAAGTCTAATGGAAGTAAGCACTGGGATATCGATCTTGGTGTGCATCTTGATTCTGGATCTACGTTCAGCCTACGAATGAACGAAGATTACGCCAAACCGGGCACTGTGTCTGACCTGGATTACATGTTCAACTATGGTACAAACACTGGCCAACGTGATCTGCATCAACAGGTTGAATCAAATATCATCAAAGGACAGACTTGCTTGCTTGATACTGAAGCGCAATGTAACCTTGATAGTTTATCCTTGGATTCCGTGTCGTTATGGACACTGATATTGAAAACTCCTTCATCATTACGAAGGGGGGACAACAAATGAGGTATGTACATCAAAACGGATTGTACACTTTTGTACCCAATGGTAGGGCAGAATGTGACGATGGATCCGAATACCCTGAGTGTGATTACAGAGAATGCGGAAATTGTGACTGCGACAAGTTTGGTGTCACACACACTGAATGCCATAAATGTGGCGTTATTTTCTGCGGTAGAATTTGAAAAATTAGCTATTCTGATTCCGATTATTGTGGCATACAGACGGTACAGGAGAATATCGAAGGCTTCACTGATAAACAAGTTGAGCGGGCTAATCGCGCACGATCAGAGTATCATATGGCTGGTGCACCAGACGTGCAAGCGTTTCGTATTGCAGTAAGATCTGGTTTGTTCAAGAACTGCAATGTGAATGAAGAAGATGCAATCATTGCTGAAAAGATATATGGACCTGGTTCTTTGGTCCTAAAAGGAAAGACGAAGCGTGCCACGCCCGAAGGAGTGCGGGATGACTGGATAGAAATACCAAAGGAGTTGTTAATGCACAATCTGAGTGTTGTGCTGCACATTGATCTTGTTTTTGTTAACAATTCATTTGGCCTCACGACCATTGATGGAAGTGTGAGATACCAGTGCAATGAGAAGAAAAGCACAAATGAAAAGACTCCGAGTCTCGTTGTATCAAGCCATCAAGAAAAGGATTGACACGCAAACAAAGAGAGCACAGTTACAAGGGAACCAGAAGTACGAGCGTTCCATCCGAGAACGCATGCACAATTTGGCATTCCAGCAAGTGGGAAACACAAACAAAGGCGAATATGACGCGGACAAGGCGTTGGTAGTCGCTCGTGTTATTCAACAGATACGTGATGGTGTCAACGGTGGTATCAATGGGCAAGACGGAGTCTTGTTCATTCAACAATACTATCTGAATAAAGGACTGAAGATATGCAAGGAGCAAGGTAAAGACGCGGCCATAAAAGAACTTGACCAACTGATCAAGCGCAGTTGCTGGACACCTATCAGTATTGAGAAACTAAAGCCGACTGAAAGAAAGAAGGCTGTAGATGCAATGATGCTACTGGCCGAAAAGAATGATGGAGTAACGATCAAAGGACGCTGCGTATTCAAAGGTAACGAGACCCGGGATTGGTTGTCTCGTGAGGACACCGCAAGTCCTACAGCTTTGCATGAGGCTATTATCTGTACGGATGTAATTGATGCCCATGAAGGTAGAAACGTCATGTCAATGGATATACCTAACGTGTTTATCCAAACATTGATGCCCGAGCAGGAAGAAGGAGAAGATCAAGTAGTAATGAAAATTACTGGACTGCTGGTTGATTGTATGATTGACCTAGATCCGATGTATCAGGATTTTGTAGTAATCGAAAATGGACGTCGAGTGATCTATGTTGTGATCCTCCGTGCTTTTTATGGGATTTTGCAGGCTTCGCTGCTGTAGTATCAAAATCTGAGGGCATCACTGGAATAATACGGATTCGTATTTAATGTATACGATCCATGTATTGCAAATATGATGGTCAATGAAAAGCAATTGACCATCAGGTGTCATGTTGATGATGTGCTAGCGAGCCACAGGGAACAAAGAGTTCTCGAGGATTTATTTACATGGATAAATGAGAGATACGGAGGACTAAAGGAAGTGACTTGCACACGGGGACGAATTCACACCTATCTGGGAATGACATTGGATTATTCAAAGAAAGGAAAGTTGAAGATTCGAATGGACGATTATGTCCAAAGAATGCTTGACAAATTTTCTGTTAAGTTTAAGGAAGACGACTAATAGGAAACACCTGCTGGAAATAATTTGCTGGAGGTAGGAAAGGGAAAACTTTTAGATAAAGACCAACAGACTGAGTTTCACAGGTTTGTTGCAAAACATTAGTTTTTGACCAAACGTGCGCGTCTGGATATGCATTTGACGGTGGCAATTCTGGCTTCACGAGTTCAAAACCCAAATCAGAGTGATTGGCATAAACTTGGAAGGCATATGAGATACATGCACTCTACCAAGAAATGGCATCTCACGCTGAGCGCTGACAACCTTCAAGTAATGAAGTGCTTTGTTGACGCGTCTTTTGCAGTTCACCCTGATTTCAAGAGTCACACAGGAGGAGTGATGACCATGGGTGTTGGAGCTATGCAGGCTATATCCAAGAAACAGAAGCTAAACAGCTGCAGAAGTACACATGCAGAACTAATCAGAGGAGACAATGTGATCACACAAGTGTTGTGGACACGCATGTTCATGGAAGAACAAGGTTATCTGATTGAGAAGAATATCTTGTATCAAGACAATATGAGCTTCATTCTCCTCAAAAAGAACGGAAGATCAAGTGCTGGCAAAAGAAGCCGAGCATTGAACATCCGTTATTTCTTTGTCACTGATCAGGTTGAGAAAGGAAATCTTACAATTGAACACATGCCGACAGATGACATGTGGGGGGATTATATGACAAAACCTCTGCAAGGGAAAAAGTTCCGCAAGTTTTGAGCATTGATCCAAGGGGATCAGGAAGATTAAATGTGACATTTGTTGGTCATATATACATGTTACATATTAAATGAAAAAGGATTTGTTATTGCAACTGGAGTGGTCAAAACGGCAGAAGTGTGTTGGTGAAATGGGATCTTAAAGGATAAAAGAGCAGTCGAATATGTTGGACAGCAAGGCCGGACATTCGTGGTACCATATACGGACAGTAGTACGGTTCGAGTATGTACAGAGATGGATAAGTATTGAAGGTAGATCCAGATCTGTGACTAGTTTGTGAAGAACATGTGCGTATGTGCTTTATACGCCGCAACAGCTGGTGAGAGCTGACACAGGTGGCTTCCGGAAGATATTTTTTGTACCTGCCTGTGAATTGAATCCCCCGTGTTGAGTTGACTCGATGAACTAGAATGAATGGCTATCGCCAACCAACAGCTTATAATTTTGATTATCTCCCTCTTGCAACACTGTGACTAGTCAAATCCCTTTATCGCTCTACTATCGTTCAATAACGGGCACATTAACTCAGTTTATTAGACCCAGCGCTGCTGTACGGCTTGATAGCAACACCAGCTGAGACTTTAAACGACCTGTTGACCGACATGTCAACGTCAGGATACCTATTGCTGAATTACACCTTGTTATGATCAACTATCATACAATAGGTGTGCATAGGATACATTTCATTCTATGAAGTGTAAGATCAGACAATATCCAACCTTGAGGGGACGCTTTCAAAGGTTGGAGGGAGAGCCGAAGCACCTGGATCCAAAGATTTGGTACTACGCGTCGATACACAGCTTGTTTGGAGGGAGAAAGATCTGCAATTTATTTATATATATCAATCCGCCAAAAACGCCCGCATGACCGCTTAAAATAAATCCGTTATTATATACACCGACTTGCGCGCAAGCCAAACTAACGTTCGTATCATTCGCCAAAACCCACACAAAATTCATCTGTGGTGACAGAAAATTCATTTCAACACAAAACTCAACAACAACAGTTCCAACCCGCATATCCGATTCAACCATGGCCAAACCAGCGATCCTGCGCCAACTCTTTGTCCGAATCGGCCTGACTCAAGCCGTTGCCGACACTATTGTGGACGATCACAATATCAACAGTACCGCAACTCTGACCAAGATCAAGCCTGACACTGTCAGCAAACTTGTCAAGACCCTTCCACACCCAGGAGGCGGTGGGAATGGCCACGCGATCCCGTTCCAAGTGCAGCAAGACATCACTGATGTCGCATGGCTCATAAAACACCGTGTCCGCACCTCTCGTGATCCAGCTATTCTGACCATTGTTCTGACACCAGCGCAACAGCGCCGGGCCCGAGAGTCGGAAAGGAAGCAAAAAATGGACCTGGAGAATAATGTCCCAAGCCCGCTGTTCATCATGGTTCTACCTGGCGAAATGGAAGGGACTTATCTCTTCATCAGCCGGTTGAAGTACGCAGCATTGGCAACAAACGTTTTGAAAGGACTGGTTCCGTTCTTCACTCATCATTTGGGGGCATCAACGACTACTCGATCCAACAGAGTTCTGGGTAAATGGTTCCCTAAGTCTCTCATCCATACGACACGCCGCAAGGAACTTGTGTGGTGCTTGGAGACTCTACGGGCACGACCAGCCGACCAAACTCAGCAGGGCGTTGACAAAGCTATCGATTTTCTGGATGGGTTTGGCTCTGATCCTCTTGATGTCGGTGAAGCAAAGTTGGAATTTGATATGGATATGGCGGACGCTAAAGATATTGACGATGGAGCTACGGTTGCTGGTGCCAT